AAATGAAACTGCCTTTATAGTCAGTGATCACTTTCTCTGAATTATATGAAGTCTACAATCAGGTGCAGAAATGATTTAATTTGCCAAATGAGATTACAAAGATTATTATATGTCACTCTGAGTGAATCAGGTTAAAACATAGTAGGAAGACCTATGGAAAAGTAGTCTTAGGAGAAATGACTGAATAGATCATGTTAACCCTGGCTGCAGGCTGTCTTCCCTCCTTGTGCTCCCTTCCTGGGCTCTTTCTCCTCCTACTCAGCACCTGCATTCTCCTTTGAGCCCCCGCTGCAGAGAAGTGTGATGCTCTAGAGCCTTGTTATTCCAAGCGTGGTTCTCTGACCGACCACATGTACATCACCTGGGACCTTGTTAGGATTTCAGAATTCCAGACTCCAATTCTGACTGCAAGAATCAGAATCGTTAAGATTTTCAAGAGATTCCTATCCACACAAAGGTTTGAGAAACCCTACTTTTGAGTCCCAAAGATTCTGTGTATACAGAACAGCAAGTTACTCTGATACACGTGGCACTGTTAATTGCTGTTTGGTACCACCAGAACACATGTCCATGTGCATTTCTGGAGTCATGGTGCTATGACTATGGTTTTCATGTCAGGTTTTACAAAACCAAATATGGTTTTGAAGGTAACACAAAGATTTGATTTCATTTTATTTTAAAATGTCTATTTTAACTTTAAACACTGTAGATAAAAAACCTTCAAGCTGCGTTGATGATTAGCAAGACATTACAGTTATGCTGTCAGGCTAACATTTTTTGGATTTGAAATAAAATTTCTCCCACTATCCCTGCTTAATTAAATAATATCCATTTACTACAAAGTAAGCTACTACAAACAAACAAATCTGGAGTTTCTTCTGTTTGTGAATCCCAAATTTCCCAATGCTTTGTATTTAAAATCAAGTTCAGAAATAAAAGAGATGCTATGGGTAAAATAAAAGTGCAACTGTCATCCATAGCCCTGGATTGAATTGTGACATCCATCTAAGCAGCCACTCTCTGTCCATGTTGATTTATTTTGCTTTAAGTAATTGCAGCCCATTTGACCTTCCAAAATATAGCTTTCGTTTGTTTTATAAGTATTGAAGTCTAAATGCATTTTATATCAATAAAATGCATTTTGATTCTAAAGCATTTTGAAAGCTGGAACTAAAAGTATAAGTTCGACGGAGAAGGCAGGGCTGTCTGGAACCCGAGTTAATTGGATGCATCACTTCTTCTGGAATCCCTTGATCGCAAGAAATTGACACCTGCCAACTTCTCCCCTGTACCTTCCTGATCCCGGTCAAGTCATTCTCAAGTAGAAGCAGTCGAGTCATTTTGATTTATTTTTTATGTGAATCAAACTTCCAAGCTAGGACACACCATGAAACAAATTACACATTCCTTGTGGCTACTAAAAAAATTAGTTTATTAGCGTAAGAATCTGGATTTGAGAATAAAATCATAGATACAAACAATCTATATTTCTCACAGTAAAAGAGATATTCTGAAATTACTTCAGTTTCTTGGTGGTGTAACGTTCTAGTATTGCATTCATCCGTTCTTTCAGTCAACATGTCAATAGGTGGTTACTGAGCGTGTACCTAGTTACATAAAGAATTGTAAGATAAAACCCCCTAATTGTAGGACTCTCAGTTCAGAAGAGACAGGTGCTCAACAAACCATTGCTAAGCAATGCAATAATAGTGTATTGGACATAGGTTACTGATTCTGTGGAAATACAGAAGAAATAATAGGAAAGGGGCAGCTAGGTTAATTAGTATTTTGTTTTGCTTGGTAACTGGTCCTAACTTTTAAAAAAATATATATGGTGATAGGGTTTGCAATTATATCTGAACCAAGTTGGATAGAAAATAAAACATTTTCCACCATTAAGAATTAGAATACCCATAATCATCATAGGGAGAATGTCAATTTTAAAAATAAGAATCGGCCGGGGGCAGTGGCTCATGCCTGTAATCCCAGCACTCTGGGAGGCTGAGGTGGGTGAACACTTGAGGTCAGGAGTTCAACACCAGCCTGACCAACATGGTGAAACCCTGTCTCTAATAAAAACACAAAAATTAGCCAGGTGTCATGGTACACGCCTGTAATCCCAGCTACTTGGGAGGCTGAGGCAGGAGAATCATTTGAGCCTGGGAGGCAGAGGTTGCAGTGAGCCAAGATGGTGCCACTGCACTCCAGCCTGGGTGACAGAGCAAGACTCTGTCTCAAAAAAATAAATAAATAAATAAAATAAAAAATAACAACACAATGATAAGTCTAAGTAATCTAAAGATGATTTAAATTATATGGAAGGCTGTGCATAGGTTATATGCAAATACTACACCATTTTATAACAGGGACTTGAAAATGTGTGGATTCGGGTATCTATGGGGTGGGGGGGGGGTATGGAACAATCCCCCAATCCCCCCGCAGATACAGAGGGATGACTTGTGTTCATTCATCTCACTTGATGGATATATGCTTTTTGCATGCGTGTAAGAACACAGTAATCTTTTCTATCATCAAGATGATTTTCTACTTTGCCCATTATTTACACCACATTTAGTTTCCAGCCTGGTTTTCCTTTGCTACTCAGTACACTTCTGCACTACTTCCCCCAAATTAATTGATATAATGAGCTGATGTAAATTACTTTCAATATTAGGCTGAGCTAATATTAACCCACAATAATTTAGAAAGTAAATATACCATACAACACCATATATGTACTGAATTCCAAAATTAAGTATCAAGGATGTTTTAGTTTCATGTAATTTTGAAGTGTCTGGCCCATTGCTCCCTTCCATGATGTGGAGAACCACCTGCTCTGGATGTAAACACCTTCTGCTGTGTGTGTCCCCACGCCTCAGGGCCCGTACAGAATAGTGGCTATAGGAAAGGACCCTCACAACCCTGGACTGCCCACTACTTTCACTCTTCCACCTCCTTATCAGTGCTTTTCTCACCTCTTCTGCTAGGAACAATTTTCAACATTTTAATCATAAACATACAACTCTTCAGGCCCAGGTGAAATGTTTTGAACTTTATGAAGCCCTTTGTTCATCATCCACCTGTAACTCCTCTAGTATCCAAATTTCTATAGCATTTCATATACCTTTTATGACTCATCAAATTCTTCTGGGTTTGCGTTTTTCATGAATCAGATCCCCACCCACCTCCACTCAAATTTGGAGATGAAACATCTTCGTAGCCTTGATAACACTGAGCCCAAATTTTATAAAAAGTAAGTGCCTATTAAATTTAGGGTGAATTTTCCATCCCTCATGATAATTCAACAAGATGCTTTTGTTTATATTGTGTTTTTCCCCAAAGTTCTTCCTCTCATTTTCTTCTCTTATAGTCCTGTCCATTTATTGAGTCTCAACCTAAAAGCTTTCAATTGTGCCCAAAATGTACATGTGATTCCTCATGTGAAATCCCATAGTACTTTATTTGTCCCTGAATTATGCTGTTTTTCATTTCTTCGCTGCACTGTAGTTTTCATACATCCTGTATCTACTTCTATATGAACTATGAGCTCTTCTGCAAGGCTGTGAGTGCAGTCTTAGTCATCTTCTGTTTTCCATAGTTCTGTGCATACAACAAGTGCTCAATCCATGTTTGTTGCAGGAGTAAAAGTTTATAAGAAGTTGTGGAAGAACAGTACAGCTACTCAGAGCCAGGGGCTCCATGCCAAATGGAGCCAAGCCCTGCTACAGGTGGTTTTAGGCATGGCTAGTGGTCAGTTGAGAACAGGACTTGGAGAATGCTATTTCTGAGGCCAGCTCTATCGGATTTTGTAGCAGGGAACTGCTAGGGCATTATGATAAAGGGGTTGCTTGCTGGGTGGCTGTTTATCTGTCCTTTTCCTGTGACCCATGATTATAGATTCTGCTATTTTAATCTGGGAAAGTTTTCCTGTTTTTGACAGTTCCCTGTGAAAGTCTAGATGTCCTTTGTGAATACTGGTACATCATAATGAATACCTTTGTTATCTGTGAGCATCTTCAGCAGGATTATAACAAAAATCAGGTTGTGGGGTAGATGGAGAGGGGAATTGATGGGAGGGATGAGCGGATGGATGGAACCAGGAGAAAGGAAAGGGTTTGTGCCATTGAAACAGGGAGGTGTCAGGACAAATTTCAGCCTCTCAGTTTCTGAGGTACAGTCCAGCTGTGCCCTGGAGGCTGTGTTTCAGATACCTACAGCTTCCATTTATTGGCCCACTATTTTCTGCCTATTAATTGTCTATTAATACTTCATGAACATGATCTCCAAACCTTAAAATTACTTGTAAGATAGAATTATCCTATTTTTCAAAGGTGAAAACTAAGGTTCGGAAAGATTAAGTTACGTAGTTACAATTAGTCATCTTAATAAAAAGATATGGATTTGAAGAGAAAACCTGCATTTTTTTCCTCTGTATTATGCTTGCTGCGTCTTTAAGCAGGCTGCTTTAGTTATCCAGTGGGAAATAGGTGTTTGGAAGTTTTAGAAGTCTTTTCTTTCTAGGTTAGTATATTTTCATTGCTGTTATCATGACATTATTTCAAAAACTCAAATTGCTATGAAAAACTTGGCGATATCCCTCTTTAAATCAGTATTTGGCTTGATAAAGAATAGAATAAAACAAGAAATAAGACAACTTTTCTTCGATCTTTCACCAGGAGGGAATTTAGCTGCTGTCTTTGTTTTGGGGTAAAAGAAAAATGAAATGAATCTGTGATATTCAAGTAAATCCCTCAGTTGTTTGTTAGTATCTACTGTTTACTCAAAAAATGGGAAGCACCAGGCCTGTGATACATCATCTTTGTTGCGCTTGGCACCTTCCATCATGAATCATATTAATCTGCTTAAACTAACAAGGATTAATTGCCTTGGTAAGGCAACCTGGCATTGAAATGATATATTGCCCAGACAGCTTGGAATCTGGCCACTCATAAATCTCATTTGTTTGTTGGTTTATTTCTGTTTGTCTCTCTCTCTGACAGATGTGTGCCCAATCACTGCGAGCATGGTGGGAAGTGCTCGCAAACATGGGACAGCTTCAGATGCACTTGTGATGAGACAGGATACAGTGGGGCCACCTGCCACAACTGTGAGTGCCAGTTTATCTCACTTTAATCTTGTAATTGCATGAGAATCTCAAGTCTTGGGCTGTGCTTTGAAGCTCAGCAACCTGAATAATCCACGTAATACATCACTCGAATCTGAAAAACCAAGATTCCAATTGTCAGTTCTCCAAAAAAAAAAAAAAAAAAAACAAAACTATTCTACTTGTTAAAATATGTTCTCTGGTAAAATGAGTAAAAATGACTCAAAAAGAAGGACCAGCGTTTCCTCTGTTCCATAACCACGTAGTTGAGATTGGAAGGCCAAACTTAGGTTCGCTTCTCTGTGTCTAACTCACGTCTGCTGGGTCGACTGTTTGGGAAATTGTGTTAGTGTGATGTCTCTGACTGGACCCTCATCTATCAATTAATCAGAGAGGGAGACAGAGTGTAATTGGAACATTTAGTTTCTGGATGATGGCTGCTTCGTGCTTTAGCCCAACTGTTCGGCTACCTTTTTTTTTAGATCAAAGAAATGAGTCCGAAATGGAATATCTAAAAGCCAATGGATGTAAAATGAAAACATAAGAGGTAAAAATATTTTAAAATGGCAAAAATAAAAAGTAACATGCAAAAATGACTAGTATAACACAAATGTGCCTTGGTTTATATAACAACTTTATTCCAAAAGGTTAAATAAAAAATAAATTTTCGTACTTAAAACATTTAATGCTAACTCTTATAATATTAATTTTCCAATAATGCATCGCCATTTGCAAAACACTTTTGAAAACAAAGCACTTTTGAAAACAGATTTGGCATAAATCGTATAATTATGAGAAGAGAGTCAACTATTGGGTAGTGTGTGCATATGTATGTGCGTGTGGGGGTGTGTGTGTGTGTGTATGTGTAGGGAAGGAAGCACAAGAGAAAAAGAGAGATTCAAGCTTCTCTCAGTATGCCCAAACACTGAAACTCTGATATCTAAATCCTCCAATTATACAAACAGATTTCACTTTACTTTTAGGAAATAGTGACAAGCAAACTATCTCAGAGTAGAGCCCTGGGTATAGTAAAAATGTCATACAGCTCTCTAAGCCTTTCCATTGTGTTATTTGTAGTAAAGTGCAAGAAGAAATTGTGTTTTGAATGTATTGTAAAATGTTGACTTACAAAGTTGCACACGTTTATTTGTTTAGGTCAATATTCAAAAACAAGAGACAAAGGAAATCTTTACAAAACTAACAGTAGAAAGATGTCAAGAAGGTCAAAATAGATACTTATTAGATTCATTATCTGTGTTTACATATATGAAAGTATTTTAATGAGTAAAGAATAAAAATGATTGATATTGAAATTAATTCAAAGAAAAGAGTTATAACTAAAATTTTTCCTCACCAATCATATCAAAATATTAACCTGCAGTATGTGACATTTATTAAACATAATACGATGCTAGAATTATGTTGATGAAACTGGATACCTTCACTAGCGTAATTTGTATCGTATGTTATAAATACCATATTTAATTACAAGGGATCTTGTTCCTGAAATACGATAATGCTAACCAGTGGTCAAAAGCAAGAAATCGGTGGTGGCTGCAAGGATTTTCTATCTCAGTGATGGCTTTTATATTGAACTGAAAAGTAAGTTATTCTTTTTATATGGCTGTTTCTATCATTAAAATACACAGCAAAAAGGCAAAAAAAAATTTAAAATGTATGCTACTTGTTGAGTAGCTGAGGTTTGTTTTGTTTTTTAAGAGTAATGACTCCAAGGATTAGAAATGTCCTAAGTGTGTTTAGGTTTGGCACTAGTGACCAGCTTGAAAGATAAAACACGAAAACTGTCTTTTGTTCTGCTGCTCCTTCTTACTTGTTCCTTGCTCCATTTTGTTGGATCTTTAAAGGCAGAATCATTCTTTTTAATAATAAAAGCCTGATCTTTTGTTGTCTTCTCCAAATGAAGCCAAAATTTTGAATATCCAACCTATGCATAAATAGAGGTGAAAAGATCATACTGCATAATTCAAGAGAGGGTTGGCTGGTGACTATTTTCTTCTGAAAAATGTACATTGTAGCTTATTGAAGGCCATTTGCCTCCTAATAACCTGAAAGACTTGATACAGTCTTACTTACTGACATGGATTAGTCAAAAATCTCACACGGCACAAATGTAAGAAGATAAAATATTTGCCATTGAGTTTGACACAGAATGAACAATTCTACATTTTTACTAAACCAGTGACTACATTCATAGCAAGAAGATGGAAGTGCAAAGACCGCAGTCTCTGATGTGTGTGACGCTAGCTATAAAATCATCAGGCCGTGTGACTTTGTGGTCAATCGTTTGACTTCTCTTGCACTGTCTTTGACTGAAGTCTCCTGGCGTTCTAAAAGCCAGTGAGCTGAGATTTGCAGTTACTTATTCTATATTCTATGGATTTTAACTTTGTAAGTAATGTAAAATATTTTGCTTCATTATTTCCTGCAGAAGACCAAACATTCATCTTGAAAAGAAATCATGCTAATTATTTTAAATAGTATTTTTTAATTTGAAAAAGCAGCTAACTAAAATCTAAAGTTTAACATAACAGAACATTTGTTAGAGTTTCAAACATTACAGGCCACAGTATTTTAGCACACTTTCTACACCAGCCCGGGCTTGGTCAGGATGAGACAGCAGTGCTATGAGTGACCTGTGATCATCCAGGCTAGAAGTCCTAGTTCAAGATGGAACAGGGAAGCCTTTTTGCTTGATCACAGTGCCTTGTGTTGACTTTGATTCTACCATTTTCTTACTTGTACCCTAGGCCATTTAAATTATTTGAGCTTCAGTTTTCTCCTGTAGGAATAGATAATTAACAGTACTCACCTCATCAAGCCATTGTGAGATTAAATGAAATGATGCACGTAAGATGCTGAGAATAACTTTGGCATATGTGGTACTCAATAAATTTTTGTCATTTCATCACTTTCAGAGCAATTGTCCTTTTCCTTTGAGCTTCTATACCAATAATTGCCCAAATCACAAACCATGTCCCTTAATTTCATGTCACCATACATTGTTTGCTATCACTTTTATGGCAGATTTGGACTGCAGTGAATGACTGGTTTCCATAGTATTTTTCTGTAGAAGAATTCAAGAGCATTAAGATAAATCTGTATGCCTCCTAAACCTATGTCTCTTATATATACTATTAGTTCCTTGCGTGGAACTGCTCTAAAATTTCATTAGAATATCCTGAATAATATGAAAACTTTTGGCTAACTTAATGAATGCAAGAGGTCAAAGGATAGTATTTTAGTGTTTCACAAAAATAAGCAATGTTATCCTTGGAAATTTATTACATGTCAGATGTGCATTCTGACAGAAAATATTTTTGCAGATCTTCTTATTAAGGAAGAGATTTTCACATTGCCCAAATATATAGACTTCACGTTTCCAGGGGAAACGGGAGGAGATAAACTAGGTGACCTATATAATTCTTTTTTAACTTTAAAACCACGAGATTTTAAAAATCTGAAATACTAATAAGGAACGGGTCCTGACATTGCCAAATAAAGCAAAAGTAAAATTTTTTCTAGCCAATGTTAGAGAAAAAATTAAATGTACAAGGTAACAATTGTACATGCCATATGCTGGAGCATTTCCTCTGGGTTCATAAATGTGTAAACTGTAA